GCATATTTTCGGACAATTATCGACTACAACCTTCCCAAACAAGTGAAAATGTGTGAAATGCAGACTTTCGTGTTCTCAATTTGACGTCACATTACCCACTAGAGCCATTCCTCTTTAAACTCGGTCGTGGGACAAGATGGCGGCCGATTTTCCGTATTTTGACTGGGCATAGAAAATTGAAGATTTCAGCAAATAAAAAAAATTTTTGCACAGAAATACTCAAAATAATAAGCTTACTTCGTTAAGCGAAAAAAAATGTTTGGGTGTAGGTGCACTTTAACGATTTTATCCCACTAGAGTTTTGTTCAGTACACTATGCTAAGGTCGATGATGCAATTCGGCTTATCAAACAGTTAGGCAGAGGTTGTACTCTTACTAAGACGGATGTCCGGAGTGCTTTCCACATTATCCCAATACACCCCTCAGACTGTCACTTACTGGGAATGCAATGGGAAGCCATGGCTCCAGATAAAACAGAAGGCTCTAGTCCAGCATTAAATTTTGCAGGCATTGAATTAGATTGTTTAGACATGGAGGCCAGGCTTCCCAAAGAAAAAGTTGAAAAAACCTTGGACGCAATTCGCTCTCTTCTACCCAAGAAAAGAGTACAACTGAAGGAACTCAGTTGTACTCTTTCAGGTTTCCTGAATTAAATTAGTTTCCTGAGGCAAAATTCAGGTTTCCTGAATTTGGCCTCCCCGGTAATTACCCTTGGCCGAGTTTTTATTAGGCGCCTTATGGCGCCTCACCATAGGTATCAAGCATGCGCACCACAGAATTCGATTAACTTTGGAAACAAAAAAGGATTTTAAGAATCTGGGAAACTTTCTTAGAATCCTTCAACGGAAAGTATTTTTTTTTAGAAGAAGCGTGGTCAGCCTCTCATAACTTGCAATTTTTCACGGATTCTGCGCAGTCTAAAGGGTATGGAAGTTTTTTTGGCAAGCATTGGGCTTATGGTACGTGGCCAGACCCATGGAAGGCATATAATATTTGTTTTCTTGAATTTTTTCCAATTGTCGTAGCCCTCAGCACATGGTCTAATGAACTGAGAAACAGGAGGGTCCTCTTTGTTAGTGACAACGAAAGTGTGGTTCATGTTTTTAATAAGCAAACAAGGAAGGACACCAAGATACTGGTGTTGTTGCGCACAATGCTTCTGATTTGCCTAAGAAACAATATTCTCTTTAGGGCGCGTCATGTTCAAGGAACTAAGAATGTGTTGGCTGATAGCTTATCTCGTTCACAGGTCGACAAATTCCGAACAGTGTCACAGGGCATGGACCCAACACCAACCCCTCTGCCATCACACCTTCTACCCGAGAACTGGGAGATAGGCTAGCCAAGTTATTAGAAGCTAGTCTGAGTGTAACATCTAGATTTGTTTACCGTCACCCCTGGCAGATTTTGCAACAATTTGTAAGGGATCACCTAGGGCTCCAAATTCCAGTTTTTCTTCTTTCCGAACATACTCTAGCCTTGTTTATCGCCTTTTTAGCTGAAAAAGCATATGCAGCCTCTACAGTAGTTAGTTAAATTTCGGCATTAAGTTTTCCCCATCGTTTAGCTTCTCTGCCTGACCCCTCTAAATCTGAAGTGATCAAACTCGCATTGCGGGGTTACAGTAAAACAAACCCTTCGAGGGACACTCGTTACCCATTACTTTATCCATACTCAAAAATATCATCTTGGCCTGCCAGCACACAAAATCATCCTTGTATAGCAAAAAATTAACTCGGGCTATGTATGTAGTTGCTTTTTTTTCGGCCCTTAGGGTTGGGGAGATTACTTATCGGGGCAGTCAACCTTGTCAAAATATCATCGATATCAGTCAAATTACCTTCATGAAAACCAGGGAGGGTACTGTCACCGCATTAAAGATCGTATTAAGGAACTACAAGCATTGTGACTTTGCAAACCCAGTAGATATTTTCCTCTACCGAGAGAGTCCAATTTGCCCGGTCTATCTTCTGTCAGAGTATATAACTATTCGGGGACAATTTTCCGAACTTCTTTTCTGTTGGTTAGATGCCTCCCCGATATCTCGATCTTTCTTTGTGACAGCATTAAAGGAAGACCTTCAGTTTTCTGACCTGGATAATTCGCACTATTAGACTCATAGCTTTAGGATCGGTGCTGCTTCCTGGGCAGCAGCGAAAGGTATGTCGGACACACAGATGAGGGATTTTGGACGCTGGAAATCTAATGCATTTCTGCAATATATACGAACCTCCACGATGGGGTCTCTGTCAGCCTTCCATGCGTAAGTCAGTACCGTTTGCCTATGCTTGCAAGAGGGATACCACATAGGCATAGTAGACTTTCCCAAACATGGTACAGAACTGGTGTGCAGGGGCCACTGGTATCTGTGTTATGTTTGTCTTCGCATTACAGTGAATATGGAATATTATTAAAAACTGGATCATTGGATAATGCAATTCAAGACTTTTTATTGGCTTAGCCATTATGATATATCAGCCAATATACCATAATCTACAAATATGGTAAATTGGCTGATATATCATATTGGCTWAGCCATTATGATATATCAGCCAATATACCATAATCTACAAATATGGTAWATTGGCTGATATATCATATTGGCTAAGCCATTATGATATATCAGCCAATATACCATAATCTACAAATATGGTAAGCGTACGCGTCAGCTTAAGATCAAAAGGAGCTAAAAAATTCAGTTTCTTCTTACAAAATAATAATTTCTTGGGCGCGTTTTTAATAAAACAATTATTCCACTCGCGCTTGTTGGATATGAGATGATTATAGCCAACTCGGCGCTACGCGCCTCGTTGGCTATCTATCATCTCATATCCAACGCGCGCTCGTGGAATAATTGTTAAATAGAGTATGAACCACCTTTTAGATTTAAATATTAGGTAGGGCCTACTTAGGAGCAGTTGTGCAGGGGCCAACTGTTTCCTAAAATGACACATGTTCTGAGCATAAATTGAATGTGTAATCATAAGCCGCTTTAATTTAGGAATGGCAGCTGAGCAGGGGCCCCCAGTTGGGCCTTTCGGATAGAATTATTTGGTAGTGCCTCCGATCCACTTCTCTTGCCTGCCAGTAGGTTAACGTTAGGTTCATAAAGTAATTCATTTAACGGTTTGTCGATTCCTTCTAAGATGACACGCTTGAGGGGCGGTTGTGCAAGGGCTAACAGTTTCTCAAGCATGATCATAATTCCATTAGTATTAAAATGGCATTGGAGACTAGCTTTCAGTCTCTCAATCCCGCCAAGGGGCACTAGGCTGGTTTACCTGCCAGTTTAATCACGTTTGGTTGTTACAGGAGTTTTTGTTCAGGCACTGTGCATTGCTTGGGCTTCGGGTGGGGCGACCCTGTCTCTCGGGTCGATAAGGGCTTTTGCATGTTTTCCCTCACCTTTGCTGGGATTAGGTTTGTATTTCCGGTTTTACTGTAACTTGACTTGGTATTCAAAATAAACGGCCACTAAAGTGAGTGGCCAAATTACGGCAAATAAAGGTTTCCGTTTAATTCTCCCAGCAAACCGAGCTCACCCCTAGCTACGCACAGTTTAAAACACTTGGTTATAAGCAAGCGAGCAAGAGGCATAAATAGTTTTAAAAAGAATTCTGCTCATTTTACTAATACTTCTAATAATTTTAGTGCAAAAGTATTTCGAGTGGGTATCACAAAGATATATAGGCTTAGGAAAGCAATAATATGCGCATGATAGCTTTCCTCCAGACTGGTGGGTGTCGCGGAAAAACAGTTTCTTAAAATTAACTAACAAATTTACACAACTAAGGCCTTCCGAGGGAGATCAATCTGGTAAATACGATTCTTTCTTGGTAGGTACGGTTACAGTACAAAGATATCAAAACGCGTCATCTAATGTCAGAACGCCCTCCTGCCTTTCGGAAATTAGCTTGAAATAAATCGATCACAAATGCTTAATTAAGTCGAGCATACGTGTAAGTTCTTAACAAGTTAACGAGAAATACGAGAGTATACTTTATCGGTAAAGCGACTAAAAAAATGTAATAGCGGTTTACCGTTTAAGAATATAAAAAGAATAGCGTAATCGTTCAATGCAAAGATGATTGGCCGATCTTACACCGTGGACTTGCATCAAACTACACTGTTAAATCCTCGACGTTTGCATACAATTGGTTGTCGTACATACTCATGTTGATTAGCCTCTGCAGAGAAAAAAATTATAATCAGCGTCAAATAAAGACAGGGTTCCTCATTTGTTATAAATAGTGATCCTCATGAGCGGTAAGCTTTCACACAAATTCAAGAAGAATGGTGTGACACCACCAGAGGAATAACTGGTAGAAAGACGCAAGGTACACTTGTTAGCTCGATGATTTCCCCTGACTTCATCAACATCAAACCATCAACAGTGATGACGCGTATGAGGCTCCTACGCGTCTGCAAATACCAGAAGGAACCCATCTCCCAACTGTGAGTAAATGATGTAAGGAACTTACTTACAAATCAGAAACGAACCGCTTTGGGGCCTGATGAGATTCTTTACCGGCTTTGGCGCGATTACTCTCCCCATCTGCACCAGTGATCCCCAAAATTTTTTAATTGCTCACTCAAACATCAAAATGTTCCATTCTTGTGGAAACAAGCAAATGTCTCGCCGATCCCTAAGGAATCTCCTCAGACTGAATGCGATCAACTTAGACCTACCCCATTAAGCAACATCACATAATCTATGAGCGTCTTGTCTGCAAACAAGAACTATCTCCTTTCCTTAAGTCAGCGATTGGACCTGACCAATTCGCTAATAAAAAGGGACACAACACAACTATAACCAGCATTTTTGGCTTGAGCAACTTGACACGAGTGCGGATTTTGTCACAGCCTTTTCATTTGATTTTAGGAAGGCTTTTGACTCCGTCTCTCATCGCGTTCTGTGCAAACAAGATGATGTCGTATTACATTAAAAACTGGATAATGAGCTTCCTGTGTGATCGCTGACAGAGCGTAGGGGGTTGATGGAGTGGTTACCAGTTCCCTCAATAACAATAGAGGGGTTCCACAGGGGACTGTGCTTGGACCCTTATTGTTCTCTTTCATGGTTAAATGCCATCAAACCTGTAACCTCCCAAACCCTACTGATCAAATATGATATCACAATTGGCCTCAATCGCACTGATTCATCACATCAGGAAGTAGCAACATCAATGTTTGGACTGACGATAATCAGATGAAGCTGAACATGAAAAATACCTTTGAGATGGTTGTTAGGGGTAAAACCAGGATGCCCCTCCCAAAGTCCATGGATGGAATAGCAAGGAGTTAACTAAAGCTGTTTGGAGTTACAGTAAGTGAAGATTCATGTAATTGGGACACTCAATTCGAAAATATGCATAGCAAAGCGAGTTCTAGATTGTACATCCTTAGAGTTTGAAAATACTACGGCTACTCACTACAAGAGCTTACACTGCAATTTGACAGCCTTAGAATGTCACTTTTCACCTTTGCTATTGAGGTGTGGGCTTGTGCCCACTATAGTAAATATCTCTCCCAAATTGATAGGTTTTGTAAGCGGGCTCCACGTTAGGGATATATCAGCAAATACACACCATAACTAATTGAATTAAAATCAAAGATAGGCCAGTATGGGAGAACAAAACTACTGATAGTAATCATCCTCTTCATGTACTGCTTACACCCCAAAGAACAAGGAGCCGTTTTTGGTAGCAGTTGGTTATATGAAATTGTAAGCTCAGACGTATGACTCTGGGCATGTTTCTTTTGGTATTTATAACTATTCATGAATAAACAATTTCACTACTTTATGCCGTCGTTGTTTGCTACTCTTTGTTGCGTCTTAATGCCGTTTTCCAGTCATCTTATGTAGTGTTTATCACTACGATGATCGTTTTTCATACGTTCAAAACCGCAGCATCGCAGAGGTCATGGGTTCAAATCCCATTCGGACCTGATTTTTTTTTTAGGTCTTATTTTCACAATACATAAGTAGTGTTCATTACGCAAGGATCGCTTTCATACATATCTTATGAACTTTAAAATACTAACCATAGAGTACCGTTTATAGTTGGAACATTTTAGTTTGCTCCTTCGCTCGTGGAGCGCTAACTCCGGTGACATAAAAAAAAAAAAAAAGATGGAATCCAAACTTGTCAAAATGAAAGAGATGAGAATATATTGCTAAGCTATCCAGGTAAATGCTGTTAAAGTTAAAAACCGTAACTGACTGAGCCTAAGCCAGTCACTCTTGCATAAAAAAAAACCTCTCATTTTGATCACAATTCTCACCTTATGTTGGGTTTCCATGTCCTTGAGCTGATTTTTCAATTCAGTAAATGTTGGTCTTGCATCCGAGTCATTTTTCCAGCATTTCATCATTATCTGATACCTGGTATATTTCGAATGATCTGTTTAATATTTCAAGAAATTTTTCTTGCATGATCAGAGAGAGTGAGTTGAAAAAGAAAACTTACAATTTTTCATCGACGTGTTGTGGTTTAGGCATCCTGTATCCCTCCTGAAGTAAGTTTGCAATTTTTCTTCCATCCATTCTTGGGTAAGGTGAACCACCTGGAAGAACCACAAAACCATCGAAATAAAATTGTAGCGCTGTAACACTACCCTGTGTAACAAAGATTGTAAAGGGAAGCTCATTGCGCTTGTCCCACTCAACAGACAACATTGTTCAATTAAATGTAGTAAAGAGCAAAAGACATTGTTTAATTAAAGATAGTACAAAGCAAAAAAAATCTAGTCTCATAAACTTCCATTCGATAATACCTATGGTAAAAATCTCGTAAAGCACAACTCCATAACTCCAACTGCAGAAATAAAAATCAAACGAATATAAATTAAGTGACTGAAGACATTAATACGACAACTAAGATAAATTCTTTCACAAAGATGGATAATTATCAGTTATACTTACACATCACTTTTGGTGGTATATTTTCCGTACAA